TCTTGAAAACTTATGATTGCTGATGAACGACTGCGCGCGCATAGTATTATTTGCAGAGGATGGCGGGGGGGGGTGATACCGGCTTGGCTGGGGTATGAATTCATATTGAGGATGGACGATGGGGCAGCAGAATCATACATTGCAGCACGAAAAAGTGTATCGTTAATTCTGGGGGGGTAGAACCTATTCTTCTTTTAGAAAGGAGAACCTACGTGATGCGCACGATATGGAGAAATACAACGCAGTGCAAGGCACTGCAAAGTGCCAACCTCGCAACATCAGATTCGTGACCAACATGGCGCGGCGACGGGCGGCCACAAGCCGGCCGGACTGGCACGCAGTCCCGCGAGCCTCGGGCAGCCAAAATCGTGACCAAAATGCGGCGACGGGCGGCAACGACGGGCAGCGACGAGCGGCCACAGGCCGGCTGGAGCGGCGCACGGGCCCCGCTCCTCATGATGTTAAAGGCGCTGGGAAGTGGACCGGGACGCCGATGCACCATTTGAAAGAATTCGCGCGGCCAAAGCAATGGGCGCAGAATCCCTCAGGCCCGCGCGGGATCGCCTCGAGCTGCGCGACATTCAGACACGGCCGCACGGGCGCGCTCGCGCCGACGTGGCCGTTTGCGCTCGGAGCAAGGGCGCCGAACAGCGCCCGTCGCGCGCAGCCATTGCTTTTACAGCAGGCGCGACGCCAAGCAGAGGACTCGCCCGCGCGCCGCGGGCGACTCTGGACGTCCCGCGCGGCTCCAAATGCCCAGCGGCCGATGATTTGAGCCAAATGGCAACGGCAGAGGGTATGGTCTATGGCTTGAAAAGCGATGGCGATGGCGGCGGAATGCTGGCAACCCCCGGTAGTCCTGACGCGCAAGGGAAAACAGTGATGAGACTGAACGCTCGCAACGTCTTGACTACATTTGGAAACCCGTCGCGGAATCGTGCATCTGGCATCTGGATACTATCACAGCTCCGCCTTTATGGAACATCTGATGCGTCGGTTGGTTTGATCTGGCCTGGGAAAATGGGCGACTGTGTCGCGAAGTCTCGTGGTTACATTCGCGCGGTGTGAAATCTCGCGCGGAGTTTTCACAATTCCGCGCGACCCTGGCGTCGTCGTTTGGGCTCGGGTCATCCTTCCACGTTGCGGTTAGTTGCGCACGCGAACCCAGAATATAATTTCGCGCGGCGCCTGGCGATCTTTGCGCGGCACTGTTCGGTTATGCTTTGGTTATAAGTGTGTTACTTGTTGGCAAGTGCTTTGTTAAGCGTTGGTTATCTTGGAATTGGTTGGACATGTGCTGATTATGTTTGGTTATTTAGGGTTATATCATCATTGCTATTGCTGTCTTTGTGTTCAATCACCTGTTGTTGTGTGTGTGTGTGGTTAAAACTATGTGGGCTCTACGGGAATCTGACTGTGGTTATGTTATAGAAATCTCGTATATCGTGCACGTTTGATGCCGACCCGCGCGAAACATGCAATGAATGCTTTCTTCCATGGTGATATGATGCATATTACTCGTCTTCGCTGCTCTTGCTAGGTCCTCATCTTCGCATTCCCCCCTCCTCTCCCCGGTGCTGCTGCTGATTTTCCTGGTCATCCCTCTTATTCCATCCTCCGCCGAGCGCCAATGATTACCAATCCCTGGTTTAACGCAGCGGTGGCAGATTTCGCGCGACGTCAGGACGTCGCGCAGGCCCCGCGCAAAATTCTCGGATCGGCGCGCGGAATTCTCTTACAGGTGCACAAACGCCTACCGGCGCCTGAACACCTTGTGAGACAGATGAGAAACCCTAAATGCAAACACCTTTGGGGGAAGAAAGATTTGGATACTTCCGCAATGCCAACAACACATGGTGACGCTATCCAGCCCGCACGCACACACAGTGACCCCACCAAGAAAACGGCGAAGAAACAAGACAACAACACAACCCCTTTCCAACAACAATCGGCGAACACAAGACGAGCAGACACACTAACTGCAGATTGGGAATGAAAAGATGTATGCGTGAATAAACGTACGATTAGCAGGTAAACGTGGACATGTCTACACATACGTGCGCATGTGTGGGTGCGCGCGTGAACATTCCTCCCTTGTGCATACACATGCGTGTGGCTGTGGACATCTGGTTGTACACACGCCGACGTGCACGAAATACACATGCATGGATGCATGTACTGCTGTAGAACACATATACGCGCGCACTCCACGACACGACGCAATACACTAATATGTACATATTACCCAATCCCTGATCCGCGCCCCCGAGAACGCCGTGAACCCTGAGGAAAAAACGGCGACGCCGAAACAAAGACTTCGTGCACTCTCGGAGAACACGGGAGAACGACAACGTCTGGCACTGCTGGACTACGAGCCCTCTGGAGCTCCCGCTGAGGGTAGTGGTTTAAAAGCTCCTTTCCCTGGAGGTTCGTGAAGACTTGGGAACCTTTTGGTCCGTCCATTCCTCACTCATGCGGGGGTTGCGGGTTGACCCTGCAGACGGGATCCAGGGAAGTCTCCAAGCACAGTAGATCAATTCTGCACTCAGCCACACGCAACACGTTCGCATCTGCACGTCTCTGCCAGCTGCCGAGCAACTGTGAGGCCTCAGCAGCGGCCGACGTCATCTCTCCTGGTCGTTTCCTGTTCAATATCAAGCACTGCGCACGGGGTTTGGCAATCAAGAAACACAAGCGACGCAGAGCTTGCACCAATGACACCTGAACTCCCCAAGAAGGCGACGTGCTCGCCCTCCTCCTCCTCCTCGTCCTCCTCGTCCTCCTCGGCCCCTTCCCCCCTCATTCTCTCTCCTTCTCGCTCGTACTCTGCCTGCTCCTCCTCCGCCTCCTCCTGTTTTTTTTTTCTCCGCCTCTTCCTCCTCCTCCTCCTCCTCCTCCTCCTCCTCCTCCTCCTCCTCCTCCTCTTCCGCCCTCACCTTCCTCCCCCCTCTCCTCCTCCTCCTCCTCCTCCTCCTCCTCCTCCTCCTCCTCCTCCTCCTCCTCCTCCCCCCTCCCCCTCCTCCTCCTCCTCTCTCCTCCTCCTCCTCCTCCTCCTCCTCCTCCTCCTCCTCCTCCTCCTCCTCCTCCTCCTCCTCCTCCTCCTCCTCCTCCTCCTCCCCTCCTCCTCCTCCTCCTCCTCCTCCTCCTCCTCCTCCTCCTCCTCCTCCTCCTCCTCCTCCTCCTCCTCCTCCTCCTCCTCCTCCTCCTCCTCCTCCTCCCCCTCATTCCTCCCCCATCCTCCACTTCCACCCCCCATCCTCCTCCTTCTCCTCCTCCTCCTCCTCCTCCTCCTCCTCCTCCTCCTCCTCCTCCTCCCTCCCCCTCCCCCTCCCTCTCCTTCCTCCCCTCCTCCATCCTCCACCTCCCTCCCCCAGCCTCCGAAGCCAGCTGGCTCAAGCTCAACCCCTGGGCGGGCCTTGCAGCGTGTCGGCCCACAGCGGCGTGGCCTGCTGGAGAGGCCAGCCCTCGGCCCGACCGTGCGCGGCGGCGCGGCCGGACCTGGTCGCGAGGCGGGCGCCGGAGGCGCCGCCGATCCTCGTGTGGTGCAGCCTCGCTGGTGGGCGGCAGGACCGCCTCACCCATCGAGGTCTTCCTCGGGGACCCAAGGAGGAGGAGAAGGAGGAGGAGGAGGAGAAGCTCCATGTAGCTGAGCGCCTGCAAAGTGGGAGCTTGGGTGGCCTGGTCAGGTAGCCGCGGGGGTGCACGGGGCTCGAGTTCCAATGCGTCCCCACGCTCCAGAGTCGCGCGTCGGCTGGCCTCGGAAAGCTGGCCACGCTGTGCAAGAGAGAGGCTGCGGAGCGGAGCGGAACGGGGAGACGAAGGGAGTGACGGAGGACGTTCTGGAGGCCGCGATCGTGCCTGCGGAGCCCTAGCTGGACGTGGACGCGATCCTGGCTCAGACGGCCTAGTCCGACGAAGAGACCGAGGTACCTGGGGGTCCCAACACGGTGCGGTGACAGTCAGGCGGGTGCTAATGGGGGGTGACCTAGATGGGTGGTGAAGAAAAGGGCCCTCAAGGGACCCTTTAGGGCCCCTTTCGGAACCAGCAAGGACCCAAAGGGGCCTCAAAGGGCCCTTCTTCACCCCCTATCTAGGTCACCCCCCATTACCACCCGCCCGAGACAGACCGTGCGGTGACCTCAAAATCCCCAAAGGCCTCACCGCACAGTCCGTCACACGGTCTTCGGACCTCGGCGACCCCAGGTCGCCCGAGCCATCCTGAGAGGAAGACCCAAGTCTCAAAACCGTGCGATCACCCCAAGGCCCCACTGACTCACCACGCGGGCATCCCGAAGACACGCGCGGGCCAGGGCGGGGTCGTGGCGACCGAGCTGGCCGAGGAGGCTGCAGCGAACGAGCTGGACGTGGCGCTGGGTCTGGACGCTGGCCACGCAGCGCAGATCGACGACGGCGTGGTGCCCGTCGTCGTCGTCGTCGTCGTCGTCGTCGTCGTCGTCGTCGTCGTCGTCGTCGTCGTCGTCGCACGCGGCGGGAACAGCGCGGCCGCTGCTGCGAGAGCGTGGCGAGGAGCCGCGAGAGGAGCGGCCCGGGGCCGCCGAGGAGCCCGCGCGGGGGTCGTGCCCGCGCCCTCGCGCCCCAGCCGAAGGGGGGGGGGCACTCTGGGCGGCGGCAGAGATCGGCTGCCCGCGAGGCGCCAATGGGCGTCGGAGGCGACGAGCACCCATCCGACGCTCCAAAACAATGGGAGCGGCGGGATTTTGGCAGTGCTCGGCTCTCCCCTCCTCCCCCTCCTCCTCCTCCTCCTCCTCCTCCTCCTCCTCCTCCTCCTCCTCCTCCTCCTCCTCCTCCTCCTCCTCCTCCTCCTCCTCCTCTCCGTAGCCATTTTGGCTCAAGATGCCCGCACTTGGGGGCTCCGCGCCTCCGTGCCAAAATCTGAGCTGCCAGAGCAGCACTGTGTTCTCGGTGATTTCGGGAGAATCGCACCGCCCAGCTGCCAGCGCAGTTGGGGTTAGAGCTCCCTTTCGACCTGTCAATCAGTCATGGCGCCGCGCCCATTCTCTTGGTGTGCCTGCGGCAACTGGACGTACAACTTCCGCCTGCTCCACAACGGCGGATTCTGTGGCAAGTGCGGGGAGCAGGTCACACTCTTCAAGCCTGACGCTGCAGCGGCGAAAGGCAACGGCAAAGGTAAGAAAGGCATTCACAGTTACAAGGGCGGCAAGGGCGAGGACAAGTCGGCGTGGCACTTCGGCAGTGGCAAAGGCACGCACCCCTGGTCCAAGGAGCCTGACATCTCGCAGATGCTCAGCATCCTCTCGAATGTCCCCGCCCTCGCTGAGCACGCCGACGTGTTCCGCCAGGCTGACAACTCCTTCATGGCGAGCAAGGCAAAGCCGGTATCGCCCAACCAGGAGGTCTACCGCTGCAGCCAGACCCTGGAGAAGAAGGAGATGGCTCTTCAAAAGGCCTCTGCAGACGTCATCAAGCTGGAGACGGCACTCCAGGAGGCCAAGCTGTGGCTCCACCAGACGGCGGAGGAGGCCCTCTCCGCGAAGCGGGCCCACACGCTGGCGGTCAAGGCCCTCGCCGACTCCACGGGCGCCGCCAAGACGCAGGACGGCTACACCGCGGACGGCAAGAAGATCTACCTCGCGATGGATGAGTTCGACTTCGCTACCAGCGACGAGTTCGACGACGCGCAGAAGGCCCAGCTCAAGGCCATCCAGAAGCAGGTGGAGGAGCACTGCAAGAAGGTGGAGGACCTCCAGAAGACCATGCAGGAGGCGCTCAAGAGCGTCAAGGAGATCCGAGCTGCCCCTGCGAAACGGCAGCGTGGTCAGGACGGTCCCGTCCCTGGTCCTGGCGCAGCAGAAGCTGAAGGCCCTGACGAAGACCAGGCACCTGCTGCGGAGGACGGCCCCACCATCGCAGTCTCAGAGAGCGACATCGCCGCCAAGATCGCGAGCGCCAGGGAGGCCACGCTGGCCAGCATGGGCGACTTCCCTCCCCTGGGCACTGGCAATGGTGCTAGGAGCTCTCGCGACGGCGCGCCCAGAGCTGCAGCTGCGGCCGCGCAGCGAGGGTGACCTACCCATCGGCCTGGGAGGAGGAGGCCACCCGAGGCCAGGTGACACCCTTCAGCCGCCCCTCCCACCACACGGCCTCTCCTGCATTCGTGCCCCCGTTCCAGAGAACTACGATGCGACGTACTTCTTCTCGAACATCTCGGAGTGGGGCCCGCAGGCGGAGGGATTCATGAAAGCCCAGGCGGAGCAGTACGATGTCATAGGATTCGCGGAGATGCACCTGCGAGGCGTGAAGGTCCTGGACTTCACAGAGAAGATCAGCAAAGATGGATGGAAGGCCGCCGTCACTGCCGCAGCACCGTCGGGCAGAGCAGCTGAAGGCACGACGGGCGGCGAAGCCATCATATCCAAGCGTTCACTGGCCACCACGACGTTCGAGGGGTGGCGCAAGCACGAGATCGAACGGTCTGCAGTCGACCCCTTTCAAGGATTTTGCCCCACGACGTGGCACACGAAGGCTGGCAACATCGTCGTCATCTCCGCGTGCATGCAGCCGAAGCACGGCCTCAAGGGCCCCAACGAGAAGATGATGATCAGGCTAGCCAGCTTCATCAATATGATATCCGACCCGTGGGTTGTCCTCGCCGACTGGAACAACCCACCAGAGGCATGGGAAGGAACCAAGTGGCCGCGCAAGATCGGCGGCCATCTTATCCCCCCTGAGAACACGAAGACCACCTGCAACTTGGGGCGCGGGTCCCTCATTGACTACGGGATCTGCAAGAGCGGGTTCGGCGGCCCCCTCAAGCTCGAAGCAGTCCCTGAGGTCCCCTGGAAGACCCACGTGGGATTACTGCTTTCCATACGTGCGGGGAAGCAGCACTGGTGGCATAGAGCTATGTGTATACCCAAGCAGCTCCCGTCGGCGGGACGACCAGCCAAGAAAGCGGACCCGAACAGCAAGCGCCAGAAGTTGCTAGCCGAGCGGCACCAGCGGGCAAAGGCCAGACTCCAGGAGGAGCTACAGGACGCATACGAGGAGCTCCACAACTGGCCGACCATGCAGGACACACACAGCAACGACTCGGTCACCTTCGACATACCGATTGAGGTGTGGCGCTCGGCAGCCGCCACGGTGGCAGGACTGGGAGAGGACAAGGGCAAACACGTGAGGAAGGAGTCGAACGACGACCAGGACAACTACCCCTCCTCCCACTTCCTGCTGACCCGTGACGTTGAGGCGCAGAAGAAGGTTGCCAAGGCGTTCGGCGACTGGGTGCAGACAGTGGAGAAGGCCACGCTCAAGCACCACAACATTCCCGAGTCCGATTGAAAAAAGTATGAAGGCAGAGCCAGAGAGCATGGGATCACTTGGCGAAGAACCCGTGCCACACCAGCCCGTACACACATGCGGGACCCAATCGTGGAATGGTGGCATCTGGCAACGACGATCATATCCAGATATCAGCTAATGAGGCGCAAGTTCGCAGAGCAGGACTACAAGCGCATGGCAATAAAAATGCAGGAGCTGCTACACATTGCCACCGAGAACAACTTCCTCGACAAGTACAACGACCCAGAGGACAAGAGGACCCTGGAGGAGTGGACCAAGGCCATCACCGACTTAGACGGACAGAACATCGACTCGCTGCAGGCCCTACTGGAGATCGGCCTGAGGTTTCAAGCCCGTGCGGTGGGTACTGGACTCGCCAACGGCAGGCGGGCTTTTGCAAGCTGGGTCACACGCATGTGGAAGCAGGCTCCAGGTGCGTTACACCGACATGTGAAGCCAGCTACTACTCGACGGGACGAGCACTTCAGTCACGAGGGCAGCACCTATGCCACACCGTGCGAGATCATGGATCGCAGAGCTGACTTCTGGGAGAACATCTGGTCCGACCCCAGCTCCGACCACAAGAGTATCCTCGACGGCCTCAAGTATGTCACGGAGCAAGCCAAGAGGGAGGACGTGCACCCGATCGAGCTGGAGCACCTGGACCACCTGCTGGCGAAGCAGAACCCGAAGAAGGCCAGAGGAATCGACAACCTCGGCCCGCTGGAGGTGCAACGACTCCCAGAGCCAGGACGTAGGCAGATGGTGGAGGTCCTCAATCTTTGCGAGAATTACCTCATGTGGCCCCATCAGATATTCACGGTCATAGGTGCGGTCGCCCCCAAGCCCAAGGGGGGCGACAGGATCCTGGGATTGCTTCCTTACACGGTGAAGGTTTGGTCCAAGCTCCGCTACCCGTTGAGTGAGAGGTGGAGTGACAAGCTGGGCGAATTCTGGGACACGGCCATCAAAGGGAGCAGCCCGCTGCAAGCCTCGCTGGCGAGAGCCTGCATGGACGAGTGCTGCTTCACCATGGGCATCAGTCGTGCGACAATCCTTCTAGATCTGGAGAAGTTCTACGACAGCATCTCCATCGCAAAGCTCTGCCAAGCTGGACTCAGGCAGGGCTTCCCCGCAGTCATCCTCGCGATGGAACTACAGATATTTCTTGCCCCCAGGTACCTCAAGGAGCGCCAGTGGATCAGCAGGCCGATCAAGATCGAGAAGTCACTGGTGGCAGGATCTCCACACGGCGGCAAATTAGCAAAGGTACTATTGGGCCCTATCCTCCAGCGGGCTCATGACAAGTACCAATTCAACATCATGATGAAGACATTCGTGGACGACACGATCATTCGCAGCGAGGGCACGGCCTACAACGTCGAGACCACATTGGTCCAAGCTGGCGCCTCCATCGGCCACGACATGCAACACGAGGGCCTCACGATCAGCCCCAAGACGGTCGTTGTCGCCAGCACGAGCAGCATCGCCAACAAAGTGGCCCGAGCACTTCGGAGAAAGGACATTCGGGCAACCTCAGCACAGGCCGCCACAGACTTGGGGGCCGACGTCGCTTCAGGACGGGCTCGCGCCAGGGCCACAGCACGAAGGAGAATGACGAAGGCTAGCAGACGGTCGGCAGCCATTCACAGAATCAGGAGAATCGCCCGATTAAAGAGAGAATCACAAGGTCTTTGGAGTACTGGTGCCATGCCGTCTGGGACTTACTCACATCAGCATCACGGGCTCCCTGAATATGAAGTGCTGCGCCTCCGACGCCAAGCTGCTGCTGCCGCGTCTGGCGTGGGACCAGGAAGATGCTTGACGTCGGCGCTGGCCATCGAGTACGGGGACGACGACCCTGCCAAGCGCATCAGGCGTCAGCAGATCGCAGCGTGGCTGACCATGTGGCGCCAGTGCCCAGGCATCCACGACAGGATTCGGCAATCCTGGGACAAGATCCTCGACCGCATACGAAAGGCTGGCCAACGCAAGTGGAGGATCGTCCGTGGCCCAGTGGGGGCAACTATTGCCACCCTCCTCGAGATCAACTGGGACCCGATCGCGGCGACCCAGTGGGACACGGACGCAGGTAAGAGCTGGCTCATTCCTGCAAGAGAAGACGAGGACTTCAAGAAGTTGAATGCGGACTACTCGGAGATCTTCAACGACATCAACAGCTCAGTGGACAGAGTTCTCTGGACTCGGGCTTCGAAGCACGAAGCAGGTGATGACCTACACAGTGGAGGCGACTTCAGCACGATCAAGCAGGAGAACCGCCGACTCGCCAGGAGGGAGCAGTATAGCGAGATCGCACTCAACACGGTGGTCACGACAGGTGGCCAGTGGACACGTACGCGAATGTTGGCCGCAGGATACGAGGTACCCCCCACATGCCCGAGGTGTGGAGAACAGGACGAGTCGCTTTTCCACAGAATATGGACATGTGCGGCCAACTGCAACCACGACGACTACACGGACAGCGAATTCCTCACCGCACAGGCGTTCGCCAACTACGAGGCCTCTCCGTCCCTCTGGCTTCGAGGCGTCCCTGCGGCTGCCGACACCATACCAGTCTTCGACGAGACCCCACCCATCACGAACAGTTTCGGAGATCGGTCGACAATCCCACGTGATGAGGAGGGGTTCGCTGAGATTTTTGGAGATGGGTCGGGCGGTGAGCATAGCAGTGACTGGCGTCGCAGACGCGCTGGTTTCGGATTTGTTTCCCTTTCCTCTGGCAGCCTGGACCCGATTTTCGGTTTTTCGTCTTCCCTTGGTGGGAGGGTCCAGACGGTCCCGAGGGCCGAGCTCTCTGCCTGTCTCGCCGCCCTAGAACAGATCCCAGGGAACATCCGATATATGACGGACCACCTGGCCCTGGCCCAGGCCTGGTCCAAAGGAGTCCCGCTCCTCCTCGCTTCCTCGACCCCTCCTGCGAACCTCGACCTTTGGACCAGGATCCTGGAGGCAGCAGGAGACAGAGTAATTCGTGTGATTTGGATCCCTGCCCATGTCGAGGCTAGGGATGTGAATTCCGAGGAAGCGTTTCGATATGCTGTTGGCAACGCGTGTGCCGACGCCCTCGCGGGCCTAGGCGCCCAAGCGAGCAGGCGTTGCGGCCTCACGAATCCCGACACCGACCGCCGCGATGCCGAGGCTGCCCTGGTCAGACGTCGAGCTCGGAGAGCTCTGGTTGCGAGCATCCTGGCCGATCCGTGGACCGCGTCTCGACCCGAGGCCCCAGGGGTCCTGCGGCTTCCCATCCTGACCAGGAGTCTTCGTGCCAGCGAGCATCAGTGGCGGAAGGTGGGTTCTAAGTTTTTCTGTTTGGTTTGCTCCCAATTCGAGACCAGGGAGTCCATCCGCTCTGGGAGCCTCTCGAGGTGTTGCCCCAAGCCCCGCGGCCAGGGCATCTCACCGCTCCACGGCCCACAGACTGTCGCGGGGAAGTTGCTGTGCGCGAGCCACAAGCTTTCCTTCTGGGGCCGTTTTGGTTTAACGTTTTGCACAGTGTGTGGCAAGACCGCCACGTCCGACCCAAGGTGGTTGGTGGAAAGATGCAGGGCCTCCCCCAAGGGTGCGCAAAATCTCGCGAGGATCGCCCGAGGTTTATACCCGCACGTGGGGGGGCCCCCGCAGCACGTCCGTGATGCAGAGATCTCACAATTCGCTTACTAACTCGTCTGGTTTTGCCCAGTCTCGAGGGCCCCGCTGGTGGCGTAAATGGCAAAGTGATGCGACGCCCTTCGGGAGGCCGAGAAAAGATCACGAGCGCCATCCAGCGGGGTCCTGATTATAATAGGCGTCGACTGTCGTTGTCGCCCGTCATGCATAGTCCTGCATAGTCCTCCTCCTCCTCCTCCTTCCTCCTCCTCCTCCTCCTCCTCCTCCTCCTCCTCCTCCCTCTCCTCCTCGGCCGCCTCCCGCCGCCCGCGGTCCACGTACGCGAGCCGCGAGGGGCCCCTCGCCGGGCCTCGAGGGCGTCAAAAAAAAGCGGCTGGGGACGAAAAACCGGCCCCGGGGAAGCGGTCTGGACCTCCGGGGAGCACGCATCGGAAAAATGGGAGCAGCCGGGTGTCTGGGCACGAGGAGACGAACCTGCTGCTGGCCCGTGGGCGTGAGCGGAGCGGGGAGTGCGCGACGGCGATGTGCCAGAGATGGAGGCGGCGGGGACGCCCATGGTAAAGGCGCCCGTGCTGGACAACGGCACTCCCCCTCCTCCTCCTCCGCCTCCTCCTCCTCCCCTCCTCCTCCTCCTTTTCCTCCTCCTCCTCCTCCTCCTCCTCCTCCTCCTCCTCCTCATCATCATCATCACCATCACCATCACCATCACCATCACCATCACCATCACCATCACCATTACCATCATCATCATCATCATCATCATCATCATCATCATCATCATCATCAACAACAGCAACAACAACATCAACATAGTCAAACCATCATCATCATCATCATCACCATCATCATCATCATCATTATCATTACCATCATCACCATCACCATCCTCATCCTCATCCTCATCCTCTTCTTCCCTCGCACCACTGAGCATATCCCCGTTGCGAAAGTTGATCCATCTTGACTGCCAAGACATGCCAAATGGGAAGTCGCCCGGGAATGATTTCCTCGCTGTGCTTCCATACGGGGAGAACTTGAGTTGAGACTGTAAGTGGCCGGGAGTGAGTTATTCCT